TGGGGCAGATACTCAGAGAATAGGGTGGAACACAAAAGCTAGACAGTTAAACTAGATTGTGGGGAGTAGAAATTGGTTCATGGGGGAGTTCTAGAAGTCCGTGAGTCAACACCATTGCACTAATGTTGTGCTACGGGGCAGATACTCAGAGAATAGGGTGCAACACAAAAGCTAGACAGTTAAACTAGATTGTGGGGAGTGGGAATTGGTTCACGGGGGAGTTCTAGAAGTCCGTGAGTCAACACCATTGCACTAATGTTGTGCTATTGTCCTTTGAATGTCCTTCCAAAAGACACTCCCTGAGTCTCCAGGAAGTATTATTAGGCAAGTTTAGGGCAGAACCCTGCGATTCAGCAGTAGTAGATCTACTTGTCACCTTGGGGAGCAGGGCAGCTCTTCCTCCCTTGTTAGCAAGGTGGAGAAGATAGAAGGGAGTTTTTCTGAGTTGCTTTGAAGGGCTTCAATGACAAGAAACAGGGAAAGTCCCTTTGGCTCCCTAGAAGTAAAATGAGCCAACAAAAACATCAAGCCAAAGAGTAAATACACAGGCGAAGAAGTAAGCAAAGAAATACACAACTATACAAATGTTCCAGGGCAGAGGCCAGTAGTTTATTTAGCTGTGCAGGTCAGCGTGGTTAAATAATGCATGGGGTACCAATGCCAGTCCTGAAACTGGTGAGAAAACGTCAGAAAGGAAGAAAGGGAGAGGGGGAAAGGGAGTGTGAGAGCTGGAGGGCAGAAGAACAAAAGTGGCGAGTGGAGAGGCAAGGGGAGCACGGAGGGTAAAGCAGGCATGATGGAAGACTGCAGCTGTGACTGCACCACGTGAACCTGATAGCTGCTGAGTAGACTGGCCTGGGAGGCTTCCTGGAGGAGGCAGCCCTGCATGGGGCAGTGGTCCAAAGCAGCAGAGAGCCAGCCCTAAGGGAGGATGCACAGTAGCCCTGCTGGGTGGATTGGGGCTGAAGCTGGGCTGCAGAGAAGCTGCAAGGCCGGGGGGGAGATTTGGCCTTTGAAGAAATGGAGTTGGAAGTATGGGAAGTGGAGTGAATGGGGGGAAGGGGTTGGAAACAGAGTCTTGAGATCCACTGGAGGTGATGAATCAGCTGCACAAGATTCCAGTGTCTGTGCTTTGTGGCTGAAGGATGTGCCTCAGCCTAAAAGTACATGAGTTTGGAGACTCAAGGCAGGGAAAGACAGGAGCTCCTTCCCCTTAGAAAAGATCTTGGCACCTAGGGTCACAATGGCACTCCAATTTCCACGACTCAGAAACACATTTCTCTATGTCTAAGGCTTTTTTCTTTCTTTCCCATATGCCTCTCACTTTGGTCCTTGTTTAGCAGTAGTTTGCTGGGTATTTACTGTCTTCCTCATAATGGGCTACATGCTATTGAGGGAGAGAGGTAAGTTATATGAGGTCCCTGTCACTAACTGGGACAGAATGAACAGCTGTAAAATGAAGGGACTTTACTAGGAAACTGTAAGATCACTTCCCAGAGGTGTGGTACAACGTTAAAAGTTGAAAATCCAGCAACAGAGAGAACTGAAAATTTAGTCAGTCAAGATTTCTAGAGAAGCGTGAAACTTTAATTTAGGCAGAGCAGGTTTCAAAATCTGTCTGTGTGGCCTTGGGCAAGTCACTTAAATATTGGACCTCAGTTTTTTCATCTGTGTAAGGCCTACCTGTCAGGAATTGGGAAACAGCCTGTGCTAAGTGCCCGGTGAGTGGAAACTACTTTATTAGGGCAATGCTATTTTTTAATCATCACTACTAAATGGAGGGATCGCAAGTCTGAGTTTCAATAGAAGGAAAGCTGGAAGATGGTATAGCTCGTGCAGTCACAGGGCTAGAATTTCGCATAGCTTATAGGGGAGAATTTTAAGAGCCTCTGTTTCCTGAAAGTGTATGGAGATGACAGTGTCAGGAACCATCAGAAAACTGAACTGGGTGAAGACTGCAAAGATGCTATTTATTGACTGTCCTTGAAAGAGCAGCTTTAACAAGGGCTAGAGATGGCAATGGGACTGCCTCCCGCCTCCACATGTGCCTCTGTGTCCCAACATGCCTGTAGCTTTCTGTCTTGCTTGTTTCTACTCTGAGGATCTCTTCTTTTTGCTGGCAGGATATGGAACGAAGGCACGAGGAAAAGCTGAAGATGCAAGCTGAGATTAAACGCATCAATGATGAAAACCAGAAACAAAAAGCAGAGCGGATGGCTCAGGAACAGTTGGCAGACCAGTTGGTGATGGAGTTCACCAAGAAGAAGATGGTAGGGACCTGGTTTCTGATGCTGGGACCTGTGTCCAGGAATGGCATGTCTACAATAGGCCTGGAAATAAGGGACAGGAGAAGACAGCCATGTCTTCATTCTGAAATGCATGTCTTTAGTTCAAAGGCCTGGCTTCTTTTTCTCTTCACCTTGGCCAGATCACTTGTTCAATAATAGAATATAGCCTAGAAAAGACATCCCCAATTAGTATGTTATTATCTTTATGAATACTTTCCTTTCAAGGTTGGGATTAGGGTCATATGCAGGAAGGGACAGACCTAAAATGATTGCTGAAAGTGAAGTTTCTGTGAATTCCTCAAGGTTTGGGTATCCCCGGAGCCATGAGTCAGATGCCCTGTACATTTCTTGTAAAAACTTTCATATTGGAAATACTGTATTAAGTGTCAAAAAATGAAGTCATTTCCCTCCTCTTACTGAGGAATGTATATAAGAAAAAATGCACATGTGATGAGCCAAGAGCAATGCCTGCAATAGGTGAATGGAGCTCACAAATGCACGAACTTAGTCTGGGGCAACATTGAATGATGAAATGATTGGTGTATGTGGGGAATGTCCAAGAAAAAGCTTCTAAGCATACTTTAGAGTGAATATAGATTTATGCCAAAAAATAGGAAGAAGTACTCAAAGTGACAGGAAAATTATTTCTTCATGTGTTGAACCTATCTCTCCTGCAAGTTTGGAGTTCTGTAATGACAGTAAACACATAATTCTGAGTGGCAAGGATTCTTAATGAAGGCTTGGGGAGATGTGGCTATAATTTTAAAAAGGCATAGTTGGTATACTGTTAAGGTTGAAAACAAATCACAGAAATGAAATTCCACAGAGCCCATTTATTAACTTAATTTTCTTACTGGCTTCAGGGGCTAAGGAAGCACAAGAATGGGAATGTAGGGTTGGGGATGCGGATGGTTTGTATATAATAATGACCACAGAACTTCCATCTGTTGAGCACTTAGGCCATGCAAAGGCTGTGTGCTGTGTATGTTCTCTCCTTTAATATTTAGAACAACTGTGTGAATGGCCACTGACTGATTACAAATATATGGAATGTTCCAGTGTATGTTTAGTGTCAGACTAGGTTGAGTGCCTTGCATAATTCATTGAATAGAACTCAACAGTTGTTTCTCTCACTCAGCACGTCTATAGTCCACCATGACCATTCAACCATGGTCATATGTCACTTCACTATGGGATTCATTCTGAAAAAATGCTTTATCAGGTGATTCTCATTGTTGAACATAACAGTATATTTATAGAAATGAAGATGCCTTCAATGTTACTAAGTGACATAATATTTTGGGTGCATCTGTGTGTGAGCAGGTGCACATGTGTGTACCAGTGCATGTATATTTGTGTGGAGGCCAGAGGATAACCTCAGCTGTCATTCTTCAGGCATCATCTATCTTGTTTGTTTGTTTGTTTGTTTGTTTGTTTGTTTGTTTTGAGACAGAGTCTCTCTCTAGCCTGGAACTCATCAAGTAGGCTAGGTTGACTGGGCAGTGAGCTGCAGGGATTTACCTATCTCTGTCCCCCAGCACTGGGATTACAAGTGTGTGCCACCACGCCTGACTCTTTTTACATGGGTTCTGGGGATCAAATTTGGGTCCTCATGCTTTTCTGGCAAGCACTTTACCTACTGAGCCATTTTCCATCTGTAGGTGATAGAATCTTATAGGACTACCACATATGTATGTTCTGTTCTTTGACTGAAACATCTTCATGTGACATATGAATATATATATCATAAACCCTTCCCTTCCTCATGGTGTCTCTTATTACAGCCAGAACTACCCTTATAGCTAAAGGCAGAGACTGATTGTGGAAGCATCTAGAATTCCCTGCCTTGCCATCCAGGGCAAGGTGAGACAGAGGAACTAGCTTGACTCAGTGGAGCATGATTCCCAAGCAGACAGGCTCACTGAACTTCCTCGCAGTCTGGGCAGGTGGAATAAGGGGCAAGGGACGTTGTCCATGGGAGACCGTGTTCCATTGAGCATGTGCTCAGGAAGCAACTTTAGGGATCTGCCTGTTTTTTCAGAGAGGTGGTAAAAGGAACTAATTTTGTTGGTTTACTCTTCAGATGTCTGCTAATCACTGTGGGATTTCCCAAAGCATGCTTGACTGTTTGCTCAGGGCCTAATGAGATAACTTCTACCTGCTACACTTTACAAGACAGGCAAGGAGCCACAGTTGTTAGTTGGCCCAGTGGCTTTGCAACTTGAATTTATCTGAAATGTAGTAGAAATAATACAAAAGTTGGGCTCAAGAGTCTTGCATTCAAAGTCAGTTTCCTCATTTATAAAATCTAACTCAGGAGATGTTGCCAGAGTTCTCTAGGACAATGCCTGGGAAAGCCTTTTGTAAACAATGGACTTTTTACAAATGCTAGGGTCAGGAAGTGGTCAGTTTGTTGCAGAGATGGTGTTTCTCTGTACAAAGCTGCAGCAATGTGAAGTATCAGGAGGGCTTTTCTTCCTGACAGGCTCGAGAAGCAGAATTTGAGGCTGAGCAGGAGAAAATTCGGAGGGAGAAAGAGAAGGAGATTGCCCGCCTGAGGGCCATTCAGGAGAAGGCCCAGGATTACCGGGCAGAACAGGTACGTACTTCCTCTTCCTCTTGGCTTCGCTGTCTTTCTGACTCCCTTAGCCATTCCCTGACATCCTGTAAAGTGGCCACCAGGGTGGAGATACGGGAGAGATGCCAGCTGTCTAGCCTTCAATATTCAACCACAGCACATGTCACTTAGTGACTGATACATTCTAAAAAATGTATCTGAGGAGGAAGCTCTTGCTGCCATGGCAGCAAGGGTTGAGCAGCAATACGTGCTTAGGTTCTGGAGAAAGTTTTTGACTGCCTCATAAAGAAGACTGTTCAACCTTAATTGACCAGTGTAATATGTCACTGGAGGAAAATGTGGTATCTCTGTCATTAGCAGTTTTTAAAATTAGAAGCAATTCCAGGAGTGCCTAGAGGTGTTTGAAGAACAGGGAACGAGAAAGAATGTCCTTAGGGACAAAGTGACCTCTCAGGCAATCTTCTGACCCCGAAGTTCTATGCCAAGAGCCCATTTATTCTTTTCTGCAGTAACTTGCCAGAGACATCCACCATGCTTCTCAAAGCAGACTGGAGGTTTGTTTTTTAAAAATTATTTATTTAATAACCATATGATTAGAAGAAGCATTTCATTAAGTAGGCGACTACCTGAGGTTACCTTGTGCCCTCACTGTCCACCACCCCACATACCCCTCTACATGCTTTCTTAGGACGCCTTGCGGGCGAAGCGCAACCAGGAGGCTGCGGACAGAGAGTGGCGCCGAAAGGAGAAGGAAAACGCGCAGAAGAAGATGGAGACAGAGGAAAAGCTGCGGAAAAGCCGGCTGGAGCAGGTGGCTTTCAAGGAGCACACACTGGCTGTTCAGGTGCAACGGGAACGGGATGAGTTCGAGAGGATCCTTCGGTAGGACGGCCTCAGAATCTTGGCCTCTTTTCCCTGTGGTGATGGAGTAGTGGAAGGGGATGGGAGTGTGCTGCAAGGATGATGTGTACTGTGTGGAGAGGCTCGTTAACAGACAGATGCACATCCATCTTGATCACGTTGCTGCAATCACTCTAACTAGATGACTGGCTGGACTATTTCAAAGCCATTTGAGCCAGACATTTTATGATTAGAGAACTGGAAAATAGCATCTGGAAATGTTTAAGGAACTGGGGATTATTTGTCTTGGATCAGTAAAGGTGTAAATACGGTATATATCTGGTCCTTTCTCTAGTCCTCTCTGCCTCTCCTAGCTCCTCTGCAAACCAGGGAAACTGCATTAGGAAAAGGGTTAGGAGAGATAAGGAACAGCTTCAGTCTCTATGGCTTGTCACTGGAGCAGGACTCTGAGGGAGTCTTTGCCATTGATTTGACTAATAGTGTTAAGCACATGGTCAAGGCTCTGTCTGGATATCACAGAGGACATTAGAAGTGAATGAAGACTGTTCTTGCCTGTTCCACAGGAAGGATGTCAGTGATTCCTGTTCAGACTGACGTCATCAGCATTCATCCATCTATGCTGCTTGGCAGTGCTTTATCTTTTACTTTTGTTCTTTTGGCTCAATGATGATTCCAACATGGAAGCCAAGCATTCACACTGATGGCTCTTCTGACCCTCCCTCAGAGCAGTGGGCCATCACAGGTGCCCTGAGTTTCCTCCTTTGCTCTCTTTTCTCCCAGTCAGGTCTGCCACCACCAGACCAGTTCTGACTGGGAACGACTTTCTTCTTGTTCTGTTTCGACCTCTGTGAGATCAGATTCTTTTCACAAGGAAACAAAGCAGGATTTGCCTTTGGAGAATGTGAACTTATGGAAGTGATGCTCAGATGGACAGAATGAGAAGCAGCGCCCAGGCTTCTTGGTGTTTGTGCTCTAGGTCTTTCCTCTTGGAACTGCCTCAGTTAAAGGCAAGCCATGCCCTGTATATAAATATCTGCATGCCTTGCAGAAGCAGAGCAGATCTGCAGAACTCTGTCCCACCAGAGCCAGTGACCTAGTCTTTTATAGGATTGTAGCTCCTGGCTGTCCCCACTGACTGTGATGCCTTTTGGCTTGGCTGCTTTCCCTGCCCTCAGGGTTGTGCCATGGTCACCGGACACCTGGTAAAGGAGGCAGCCTCCTAAATCCCCTAGAGAACCGCCCTTGGGCTCCAGATTGGCTTCCAGATGTCTCCCCCTCCTCCCTGGCCTCAGTGCCCTTGGACATCTGTGTGCCTTTAGCAGGCGCTAATAAATATTAATGGAATGTAATTAAAGTCTTACTTTTGCTGCTGACCCATTTGACTCTGCTTTGCTTGGTCCGCCCAAAGCACACACACTAGCCTGTTATTAAAGCTTGACCAACCCTTTGGAGAAGTCCAACGTCACCTGCTGTCCTAGGTTAGCATCTAGACCTAGTGTCTCCAGACCACGTGACCTCCATGATGGGTGCCTTTACTCTGAGAGTGTCTCTGCCTCAGCCAACAGTCCAGATTTTCCTACTTCAAAAGCACAGCCTGCAGTATGGCCTACATATGGACTTCCTGCTTCTAGGTAGAGGGAAACCTTGCAGACTCTTGACTAGAGATAGCCAAGTCATTCTTAGAAATGCCTGGGACATTTCCAAAATTATTGGCATTTAGGTTCAACCCCTATGGGTTGTGATTTAAATGAAGTGGGATAAGTGGCTTTGGAAATATCCCAGGTGGTTCTAACATGCAGTCAGGCTCCAGGGTTACTGCCTTCACCCTGTGGTGGGACAAGGGTATTTATTAGCTACTGTTCTCATTTCTGTGAAAAGATACCTGGCAAAAACAACTTAAGGAAGAGTTTACATTAGATTATGGTTCAAAGGGATACAGTCCATCATGGCAGGGAAGGCATGGCAGTGAGGTAGCTGGTCACAGAGAGAGAGAGAGAGAGAGAGAGAGAGAGAGAGAGAGAGAGACAGAGAGAGACAGAGAGAGACAGAGAGAGACGGGGGGCTGGTACTCAGCTCTCCAGTGATTTTTTAAAAAAATATTTTATTATTTTTTTCTTTAATATGAATGTATTGCCTGCATGTAGGTAGGTGTACCCATGTCGTGCAGCACCTGTGGAGGCCAGAAGAAGGGGTCAGATCCCCTGGAACTAGACTTACAGTTGTTAACCACCATGTGGGTGTTGAGAATCGAACCCAGGTCCTCTGCAAGAACAGCCAGTGCTTTTAACTACTGAGCCATCTCTCCAGCCCCCCGCCCCTAGTTATTTTTAAAATTCAGTCTAGTTCACAGCCAATGAGATGGGGCAGGCCAAATCCAGGGTGGGTCATCTCTTCTCAGTTAAACCTCTTGGAGAACACTCTCACAGACATATACAGAGGTGTGTCTTCTAAGCGATTCTAAATCTAGTCTAGTTGATAATAAAGACTAACCATCACAACCAGACTCTTCCCCATTTGAATTTTCAGCCCGCCCACCACCCCAGGGGCTCTCTAGTGCCACATCCAGGTCTCCCTTTTCCACAATTTCCCCTTCACTCTGATGAGTGCAAAGCAATAGGAAACTAATTTACACACAGAGAAACTATGTCAAGGCAGGCAGGGTGCCTGGGCAGTGAGTATTTGGTGTCTGGACACAGAGGGGTACAGAAACCAGCAGTTCCCTTCTGATAGGCTGAAAGACTCTGAAGAGGTATTGAATTTGGGGAAATGTTTGCATGGGGGAAGGAGCTACTTAAGCCTCAGGAGGATTCTCCATGCGTGATGGATTTTGAAAGATTCGGTAAGAGAGGAATGAGTAAGGGATGCAGTATTGGGATCTCTGTTTTGGTATGAGTGGGCCTATGGGAAAGGAGCAGGTGAGAAATCTGCCTAAGATGGTTTTAGATTTGGCTTTTTGACTATACTGAGAAGAAACTGGATGCTAGCTTAGATGACTTCTGACCAAATTTCCTCTGAGATGTGACTATATTTCATTGAGGTTTTTTTTGTTTGTTTGTTTTGTTCTTTTATTGAGACAAGGTCTCCCTGTAATCCCTGGCTGGCCTGGAACTTTCTATGAAGGCCAGGCTGGCCTTGATCTCATGGAGATCCATCTGCCTCTGCCTCCCGAGTGCTGAGGTTAAAGGCATGTGCCATCAAGCCTGGCTCATTTGAGTTTTTCTGAGCCTCTCTGATTGCCTTAAGGGATTTTCTCCTTGATATCAGGGTTCACAAAGAATTCTTATGAGAAGAGTCTTCTAGAAGGAATTTGAAGACATGGATCAATAAGAGAACTAAGAGATAACAGATTGTCAATTTCTTCTTCCAACAATCAAAATAGAGTTAACATTACAGACATCCTTAACCTCTCTTGTTTGGTTTTGTTAATGTTATTATCATCAGAGAGGAAAGGAAGGAAGATAACTTAGATCAAGCTGGAAAGGAGTTATGGACTGTTATGAAGGAAGGGTAGAGACAATAGCTCTCAGTGGGTGAAACCCTGGTTGTGGGCCAGCTATGCAATTTACAGATTCCAATGGAAAGTTAGACTGTGGAGTTCCTTGTTGAAAAAGTATTAAGAATTTGTCAACACTGTGATAGTAGAGCATTAAACCAAGCCCGAGGCCCTTCTGATGACATTCAGTTGCATGATCATGCATTTGGTTTTGACAAGCAGGAATAAAGCACATATAGTGGGCCCCTTTGTGGTGATCCTTGAGCTGCAGAAGAGGAATGGAGATTGGATGGCTGTGATCTGTGAACCGTGACCCACTGAGGGACCATTCAAGAGCTGAGCCCTTTCCATTCCTTTGTCCCTTCCACAGGGCCCAGAGAGAGCAGATTGAGAAGGAGAAGCTGGAGCAGGAAAAAAAGGCTACAGGGTGCCTACAGCATGCCAACGAGCTCCGACGTCAGGTGCGAGAGAACCAGCAGAGGCAGGTACAGAACCGGCTTGCTACCTTTGAAGAGGGCCGGCGACTCAAAGAGGAGGCCCAGAAACGTCGTGAACGCATCGAGGACATCAAGAAGCAAAAGCTTGAGGAGCTGAGGTGCACTGGGGTCCTTTCTCCCCTACTCCTCTTCTCTTCCCCAAAGAGGAGGCATAGCAGGCTGGAAAAGCCACAGGCCTGGAGAAGGAAGAGAGGTGACAGAGATGCTTAGTGGGAGGGTCCTCTTCTGAGTTGAGGCTTGCCCTCTGATGGGGACTCCAGCAAGAGGTTCTGGGACTGGGTCTTCCTCGCTGGGAGTGCCTTGACATGAATGTACTTGGTGGGTAGATGGTAGGAGCAGGATGGGGTACAGGTCCCCAAGTTTTGGAAGCCCAGGGCATGCTTTCTCCTGTTCCACCTTTGGTCTAGCACTTTATCTATACATGCCGTGTTTCTCCTCACAGGGCCACTGGCCTTCCTGAGAAGTACTGCATTGAAGCTGAGCACAAAGCTAACATCCTGCCAACCACCTCTGTGAACTGAAGGGAAACCTCTTTGGGAAGATGACAGATTCTGTCCAGTCTCTTGAACATCCACAATTGCTGCTAACCCAAACATTTCATAGTTACAGATTAAACCTATGCTACTTATCCAAGGAACAGCTCAGCTTTATTATTAAGGCAATGGGGATGGTAGTGTGCACTAAGGGTGGATCAAAATATATTGCAGCGAATCAGAGTGTGGGCTGGGTGTGATGTTCATGGGTTGGGAATGGGAAGATGCTCGTTTGGGGTTGTCTCCTCTAAACTGGGAAGTCTCTTTTCCTGGGTTCTCCTAGCCTTCTTGTAATCATCTGTCTGTCTATCTTCACTATATTTTTGCCTTTCCACTAGCCCTGCACTCATTTCAGAGGCATTTCTGGGCACTGAGGCAGAGCCAGAGAGCTGGAGATATGACTGGAGAAAGGGCTGTGTGGGGTGGAGCTGGGGAAAGCCAGGGATAGCTGAAGCTGGCTCTTCCTAGACTGCCAACCTTGACTCAGACCACAGCTGTGGAGGGTGATGGGTGAGCCTGGGGTTCACTGCTTTGGGCTCAGTTCTCTCCTGCTAGACTGCTTTCTATTCCAGGCAGTATTGCAGCACAGACATCTGATTCATCCCTACTGGGGCATGCCCAGGGCCCAGATCCTCACCCAAATGCAGCTGACCCTCATTCGTGTGGCCCAGCTCTCCTAAGTTCACCTCGTTCTCACGAGTGGACCTCCTCAAAGCCATTTCTGTCTGTTTTCACTTTCCTCGCTTTGCCTCAGTCTACGATTCATTCACTCATTCCGGTGTTTACTGAATGCCTGTCATGTGCCAGGTACCTTCTACGCACTCAGTGTCTACGACAGACCCCGTCCCTTCTTCTGGAAGCCTCTCATTTGTGCTCCTGATTCTCCCCTCAGCAGCCCCTAACCCAGTTTCATATTAGAATGGTCTCAGCATTTTTATAGGGTCTTCCATTTTGGACTGGAGTGCCACCTTCTGCACTTTCTTCCCCTGGGAAGAAGGGCTTACATCTAGCCCATCACTGTGGTGCTCCTCTGTCTTCCCATCCCCAGAGGCTCATTCCATCTCTCAGATTCAGAGCCCAATCTCGTCTTCTTCCATGCCTCTTGTACCAAGGAGAAGAGGACAGCTGCTGGGCGCGTCCTGAGTCTTTACAATGCCAGGTTACAAAGGCCTGGGGCAAGAGTCCTCTTTTCATAGGGCCCAAGGAGAGTCTGCAAGCTGCTTCCTGTGTTTCCTCTTCCTTGGTCCAAACGGCTACTCCAGTCATCCTCTCATCCCTCCTCATACAGGAAGACACTAGGTAGGCAGTCCCACCGGCTGTTTAGGGAAAAGACTTATCTTCTCCGCACCCCAGTGCCCTCCTACTTAGGGAAGCGGATCCCTTCTTCCCTAAGGGTCTTGTAAGATGTGGTACCCAGTCCAGAATGGGAGGGGAAGCTTTGACAGTGCCACTAAGGATTCTAGCCCCGTCTGTAGCTGGCACACTGATTGTTGAGTTGATAGCTTTTGGGAGCGCAGAACAAGTGCCCATCTATTTTCTTAGGAAAGACAGAAAGATACTTGGGTGCCTGGAGTTTGGCTGGATCCACACTTGTCCTCAGGGCTGGAAAAAAATGTGGAGTTGTGGGACAGGGAGAAATAGCATACCCATTGCTAGCTCCTGAATCCATGTAGAGAAAAATGAGCCAAGTTTATGGGTAGAAAGAAAACCTGGCATTTGACTAGGGCTGCTGCTGGTGAAAATGCAGGCCTGAGGGGCTTGCAGATCCCAAGGCCCCAAAGTGAGACCGTCTGGGCAGCATCTAGATACTGGAAAGTTACAGGTTATATAGATACAGGTCTGACTTTAAAAAAGGGACACTAGAGCCAACTGAGGAAATGAAGATGCTTTGGGGGACAATCTCCACCTGAAGGATTGACTCTCCAGTGGAAGAAAGGTTTGATTTCTTCTCCAGGATTCCTGACAGCTTCCAGAATCCACTGACTTGTCAAGTGGAGCCCAGTTCCTAGAAGTGGGATGGTTCTAAGACTGTCGGGGTCTTGGACAGCTTCTTGTAGGCATTCTGTATGGACTCTCCACCCCTCTTAATGGGGAATAGCAGTGGGAATAGTTCCAGAGAGATGTTACTTGGCTTAGGTGGGGGCTGGTGGGTCAGTCTGTGGCAGCAGTGGTTGGGCCAGCAGGAGGCTGGGTGAGTGCAGCCTGCAGAGTGGGAGTGGAACGCAATGGAGGACCAGAAGGCATAGCTGTGGTGCTGAGTACTCCAGGGGGCCCCAGAGGCAGGAGGCAGGAATGACCAGCCTCAGTGCTGCTTCTAGAGGGTGGCCCTTGGTTCTTTGTTGAGGGATGCTTTCTGCTAAGGAGGTTTCAGCTGGCCTCCTCATGCTCAGAGGTGGAAGTGACTTTGTGTGCTCCTCCAAGTCATGGATCAGCTTTCGGGTATCTGGGATGCTACAGAGGAGCAGAGTGGTGTTGGGTAGGTCTGGAGATAAGTAGGAGGTGCACTGGTGTTGGTCTTTGTTGATGTAAAGGTGTATTTGCGTGTGGGTGTGTGCCCAAGCCATTATTAACTTGGTTGGATGAGTCGTAGATTCTCTTATATCTTATTCTTAAACTATATTATATATCAAAGTCCACATTAGCTCCTGATGATTTCCCAGCCCCCATCTTGTGCCTTTGGGGGTCCTTCAGCCCTTGAATGTCAGATGAGGGTGGTCCAACCTAGGAAACTCAGGGTCTGGGTTCCCAGGTAGAGCAACGAGTCAGATCTGCAAGCAGCTGCCTCTCGGGCACGTGTGCCCTGGCTCCTGCCTGGGCTCTATGCCCTACCTGCCCGCATGAGCCTATTGTCCACATCATGTTCTGCTGTGGCCTGGGGGCAGTCTCTGAACCTTTACACCTACTCCAGTTGGGCATGACTCAGTGGTCTGCTCTGGTGGCCAAGCCATGCAGTCCCTGACTCAGTGGGGTTCTGGGATGTCCTCTGGTGCCTCTGAAAGCCTCAGCACCACCATCTGTGACTTGGGTCACAGCTGGGCATTAATTGGTCTCAGTAAAAGCACTTTGAATAGACTCAGATGAAAGGGGCTCTCAGAGTTCAAAGTCAGGTAAGGCTTTGGGGGTGAGAAAGGTGGCAGCTGTTTAGGTAATGGAAGAAAGGAGACGCTGGAGTCTCAGATGAGAAGTCTGGGTACACAGACATGGAGGCTTAAAGACCGAGGGCTCCTCACCTTCTGTTCTTTTGGCCATGCCCCTCCTGCTATATATCTGCATAGCCTGGAAGCCCAAGGGAGAACTGAGGTAAAGGAGACTTCTCGCTGGAGACCTGAGGGTCCTTCCTAGCCAAGGATGCTATCCACGGTGACTCATCTCCCCTTCTATACTCTGAGATGCATCCCAGAAGATCACCTGGCACACCTGCATTCCAAATAACTCAAACCCTTCCCCCACTTTAGTGCCCTCAGCTCTTGCCCCTGCTAGCTGGGACATGCCTCTGGAGGTGCAAGCTCCTGCATTTTCATCACCCCGTCCTTCTGGGAAAGGGCTTTTTTTTCTTTTTTTGGTCTCACTGGTTTTGATGACTTTAATACTGGGACAGTGACAGGAGTTGAGGTAGTGGTTTTTTCAGAGGACTCTCAGAAAGAGGAGTTAACGTGATGAGAGGAGGACGTAAGGTGGAGAGGAAAGGGTCTGGAAGAAACCAGCCTTTTCCACTTGGCTGCTGAAGGAAGACTGACTCTGGGATAATGGGAATGAGCATCAAATCATAGTCTCAAGACTGGAAGCAGGGGGCTCTCTGGAGAGATGGCTCAGCGGTTAAGAACACTGGCTGTTCTTGCAGAAGACCCTGGTTCGAATCCCAGCACCCACATGGCAGCTAACAACTGTCTGTAACTCTAGTTCCAGGGGATCTGAAAGCCTCTTCTGTCCTCTGTGGGCATTGCATGACACGGGTGCACTTACCTACATGCAGGCAATACACGCATACATATAAAATAAAAATAAAATTAAAAAAAAAAAAGACTAGAAGCAACTGTGAAGACCTTGTGCTGTCCCAGTCTTTATAAATCTTAGCCAAATGGCTGGATGGTCTGGGTTGCACACCCTGAGAGACAGGGTGCTCATTACCTCAAGGGAACCCAATCATCTCAGAGGAGCCCTTGGTACTCAGCTCACAATCTTTCATCAATATGTGTCTTCCTGTGTATCAATGGACAACCCTAGTTCTTTTCTTTGGGAATAACACAAAACAAATTCAGGATCTTGCAATATGACTGAAATCCCTTCAGGTATCTCTCACTGTAGTCTGCTGTGTAGTCTGACCCTATGGGAAAGTGCCCCCAGTTCTGGAAACACGGGCCTACCAGAGCATTTTGGGAGGAGGTGTTAGAGGGAAGAACTCGCGGGAAGTGGGGAAACCTCCTTTTTATCCTTTGGGCGGGGCTCATTGCTTCCTGCCTCTTAACACTTCCCTTTCCAGCCAGCCCTCGGGGAGCAGAGTGGCTTTTTAGCTCCACCTCTGCTGGTGCCACATTCTTCAGCTCAGGCCCCTATCCTGGTATCCAGGCAACAGGAAACAAACAGGAAGAGAGTGGGCCAGCCAAGTCAGGCTTATGGGGAAGGCTCAACCAGACACCTACTAGCTTTCTTCTGATGCCTCTCTACCTCTACCTTCCTGGGCAATTGGTCAGGGCAAGGCAGGCCTGGGACCACCCTGGAGGTTGAGGGGACCATAATTCTCCTTTGCAGATACGTGCTAGGAGAATCCAAGTAGCGAAGTAAAGACAAATTTTATTTCCTTAAGTTCAAAAGCCAAAGTCCCAGTGGACATACAGATTATCTCCAAATCTGTCTACATACACATGGTCCAGGCTGATCAGTTTGAGTTCTCAAATCTATCTGAGTTTGAGGACTTGGCTCTGATCCCAGGGAGGTGCTCTGGGGGTTTGGGCAGAAGGTCTCAAGAGGTTTAGTTCTCAAGGATTTTACCCCCTCAGTCCAAAAATAATCACCAGCTGTCACTTGGTGTTTCATTCTTCTCACATATGTCCGGCAAGGCCCTGGCTTATTTGCCACACACAGACATTTCTCTGGTGACCTCTGGGCTCCCCCAGTTTTCTCTCTGGCACACTATTAGTTACCTTTTCAATCTCTGTCTAAACATCATTTCCACCAGGTGGGGCCTTGTGAATATTAAATGCACAACGTATACCACGGACTAGGTGTCCCTTCCCTTGTCTTTGCTTGCCATCAGAGAGGTGCTGGAAGGAGAGGGGCTGAGTCTCCTTCACTCTTTCCCCATTTCTAGAGTGAAGTCATGCCAATTATGGTTTGAGGGAGTGAAGGTTGCACAGTGTATGGTTGATCTCCATAAGGATACCTTTTATCTCCAAGGTCTCTCAAATCTTCCTCAGCTTTGTCATCAGGATTTCACATACTGAATCCAGAGCTTCTCAGAATCCAGAGTCCAGCATGTCTGTGACCATCTTCCTCTGAGATGTACATGACGTTGTCTCTGTGGTGGCTCCTAACTCCTGTTTCCAGTTTCTCTTCGGAGATTTTCCTCTGTGGTATAACCCTTCCCTAGATGTTCTGGGGTGAGCTCTGGGTCTGTGTGGGAACATGGAAGAGGGAGATGAGAGACTGGCCAGGAGTCAGGAAAGTTTCAAGGGGGTCAAGTTGCAGTCCTGAGCCAAGGCAGGTTAGCTGGGAGCCTGGGCAGGGAGAGAAGGGCTGGGGGTTTACGTGGAATTGCTGAGAAGGTGGATTTGGAGGAAGAGTAAACTGCTTGTCTCTAAAAGGATCTGGGGTGGGGTGGTACCACATCTCAGAAGTGGCTCTGGGCTTCTGTGAATCCTGTCTGTTTCTTTCCTTGCTCTCTCTTTCTGTTTATTCTTTTTTAAGCCTCTGTTTTTGACTTTTTGTTTCTTTCTTAGACTACAATCAAGTACTATCTGAACTATCCTTCTCCCATGGAAAATGCACAAAAGAAAGGGCTATTATCTCCTGGAAAGCTATGGTTTTTTCAGGAAAAAGCAAAGGGCCTTTTAGAAATTTGTCTAATGATTGGGTTCTAAATCATAGCTCGGATCCTCTGCTTCCCTTTAAACATTTGATGAGCCATATGCATGCTGTGTGTGTTTCTGTCTCTGCCCTTTAGCTAGTCATGATTTTCCTTAATCTATCCCTTCTCTCTTGGCACTGAGGGAAGTCTAGTACTCTCTGAGATCAGCCCGAGTCTTTACGGGATCTGAAAAGGAAATGGGTGGGGAAATGGGAGGTTGGGGGCAGAGACAGATAGGGAACAGACAGGGAAGGAGTTGGAACAGAGTGCCTCTCTGGAGTGGGGCCTTCTTCCTCTGCTGAGGATGAGGCCCAGAGAGCTACTGGGCTGTAGGTCAGAGGGTGGAAACAGTAGGCTGGACCTATGCCTGGTTTCCTCCTCCCATCACCTCTCCCCCAAACACCTGCAGGGCTCAAAGCATGGGGCAGAAAGGCTGACAACTTCTTTTATAGGCTCCAAATTGCAATGAGGTGACAATTAGCCCTCAGTAGGTCAAGGGGACCAAAGATGATGTTCTGCCTTTTCAAGCTTTGAGAAACCCTGTATGATCGCCTCAAAAGCTGCTGTTTTCCTAGGTTGTCAGCCTTCCTCAACTCCTATCTTGTAGACTTCACAACCAGACCCCTTGCCTAGTAAATCCCTCTGATGGGATTCATCTTTTGGTTGGATTTGCTGCCAGGGCCCCACTGTTACTCATAGCTTCTTGCATCTGGGAGCTTCCTCAGGCTGTGAGCAGGTGGTGGAGCAGGACTTCAGAGGTTACATTTGTTATGGGATTAAGCTGCTCCACCTCCACCCAGTGGGCTCATGCACATTTGGATTCTTCCCTTACTTCTTGGGCTCCTGATCAATATTACGACTAGTACTCTTCCAGAGTTGAGCCAAACCAGGATTTAGCAGATGGAAGCTGATATCTTTCTATATCACAAAATCTCACTTTTGATTACCATGAATCCCCTTGATCGTATATTCTTAACCCATTATTTTTTACCTCAACGATAGCTTGTTCTAACTCAAATCCCAAACTCAATTGAAACTCATTTGTAACTAATCCTAAATCAGTCTCAACCCAGCCTTTGATTTAGCTCAACCTGTGTTCCTAAGCAAATCTGCAAATGACGCTATAAACCCATTTCTATCATAGCACAAAGCCCAGCTACAACTAACTTCTAGCTGCACTTCTAGCTATAATTCTAACCCTAATATTGACCTTAACTTTAATCCCATCAAGTCTGACCTCAAGCTCATTCGTAATTTCAACTAACCTCGAATTTAACGCCAGAGGCAGCCTTCACAGCAGTGAACCCTTGCTTTACATCTCAGTTTAGAGGATCTATAGCTCTACTCCTTTCCATTCAGTCTCCCTCTTCCTGGTCCCGCCTCCACTCACCAGTGACCTTCCACACTTTCTTCTGATGTCTAGTAGCCCACCTGGTTACCAAGTCCTTTTTTGGACCACTCCAGTCAGGATACTTGTCTATTACCCAGTAGCAGCAACTGAATGAATCCATGTTTCTCTAGGCTTCTGTTTTCTCATCTGTAAAATGAGGACAATGACCCCTGTTTTCCAGAAGGCTCGGGACAATCCCATAAATCTCAAAATAAATAAGAAAATAAGGAAATCCTCTGTGTACATCTGGTGGGCCCCAGAGTATGTTATTGTTGGCAGTTTGGGTAGAGGGGTTTGGGACACAAGAGTCATGTGGAGTCCTTGTGCTTCCTTATTGTTCTTATTCTTCCCAGAGGGTGGGTCCTGGCAGCATTCCTGAACCCCTAACTCTCCCCAAGACTCTTCCCTGTCTGCCCTTCCTAAGCCCCAGGTCAGGAATGAAGAAGGTCCTGGGCTTCATTGAGGGACTGAAGTTGTTGAACAAGGCCCCTCACGGGGCAGCTCTGGAGTCCAGGGAAGGTTCCAGGACTGTTCTGTACCTCCTGGACCAACCAACCAAGGCTGGCCTTCCCCTTTCTCTTTCTGCCAGCTAAGACCCTCCCACCCCAACTTCAACCTGTCCAGAACAGTCTTGGTGTAGTGACCCTGATGATATTGGTTGCCCAGTGGACAGTCCAGACTATGAGGGTCCTTGGTCTTAAGGGGATAATGACCCCTGTTAATGGGCCTGCATTAATCCTTTCAGGCTTGGCTGGGCTACCAAGAAATCTCTGAAGAAAGCACACAGAGGGGCTCAGCCCTCTCTCCCATCTGCCTACCTATGAGGGGTGTACATGTCCCCCTGCCCTGCTCACCCTGGAAATTTCCTTGCCCCGGACAGTCCCTTACTCCCTCCCCATTCCTGACCCCACTTCTTCAGGCCTCAGCGAACTGATTTAGATTTGTGTGAGAGGTAGTGGTCTGGATCCTCATAGCACCTCCTGCTCTTAGGGGTCCTAGAACCTGAGGATGACAGCAAGGGTGGGGACACAGTGGCGGAGGAAAACCCTGTTCTTGTATACGCCGCCCCCCTTTCAGCCCCAGAGGCCCCATTCCCTTTGAATGGCCAGAGGAAAGCTACATTCCTACATTCCTTTCGTGTGCCTGGCCTTAGGAGAAGGGGCCCTTTTCTGGTGCACCATCTTATAGATAGAATCTGGAGGGCTTCCCCTTTGAGGTCAGGGCATGCTTGGAGGGGTTGGGGCCTGGAAGCCTGGGTTTACAATATGAGGGTGTGCTGGACCCCAGGATGTCCTTGGTCAGTGTTAACTCTTCACAGCCTGGCCACCGTACCTCTCCAAACCTGGCTTCTCCTTCCCCTTTTCCACCTCCCCCAGGGAAGGAGCAACAAATGAGTGGTGAGGGGAGCTCTGTGGACGCTGAAAATGGGGCTACTGTTGTCACCCCAGGATGTAGCCAGGAGGAAGTGGAGGTTTAACAGGTGCCTAATTACAAGTCCCGCTGGTTGCCCTGCGCCACTCTCAGGACAGGGAAGAGCTTGGGTGAGGGCTGGGTAATGCCTGGGTAGGCCATCCTGTCACCCTGCTAATTAGGGCTACTCGGGCTCCTCCCCAAGGCGGGGACCAGGCCCCCTCCCTCCCATAGAAATAACTCTGGCTGCTCCCTAGCCTGGCACTCATTGCACCTTCCTGCCACCCCGGGCAGTGTCTGGGCCCTCCGCTCCCCCTCCCTCCACCTGCCCCTTCCACCCACCATCACCACCACCACCACCACCACCACCACCACCACCACCACCTCCACCGGCCCACAGGAGCCCAGCTCAGGCGGAGGAAAGACCAAGTCTAGAGAAATGGGAGTTCGAGGAGCATTCCACCTTCTACTCGTGTGCCTGAGCCCAGGTATGGGGCTGGGCAGGGGCAGATAGCCCAATATTAAGCTAGATGGTCAGGAAAAAGGGCAGTGAGGGTTCACAGAGGAGCCTCAAAGATGGTGTGAGAGGTCCTGGCAGGGCCTGTCTACTCTCAACTTGCAGACAATGATTTGGATGCTGTCAGAAGGATATCTCTTCCAGAGAGCCTGTGCATGAAGGCTTGAGACAGTGCCTGTGTGCAGAGGACTCAGAGTAGATCTTCATGGTGTCTGACAGCCTGAGGGGCTTGTACATGTGTGCAGGTGTTATTTGTGCTATGCCCATGCTGGAAGCAGGAGATAGGGTTCGCTTGGAGGTACAGAGTTACTTGTGGAAGCTTCAGGTGGGGTAAAAGTCAGGTGAGCAGCGGCTCTGGGTGGGGGCTGAGGAGGAGCCTGGGAAGGATCAGTTTCTGTCAGACATCTGTGTGCTGTTCCCCGTGTGAGGGCTGTCTCACCCAAGCCAGAGCATGAGGCCATTTACTTTGAAAGGGCTCAGTCTGAAGAGTTGCTTCTATCATGGGCAGTGAGAAACCAGGCCTGGGACCTCTGCTGTGGGCCTTCTGTGCTGTGAGTCCATAGGTCATGACTCCTCTCCGATGAGCTTGGAGAGGGTGTGGACAGGATGAATGGTAAACTCTCAGAGCCCCTTCATCTCTCCAGGGCACTCCTGGAGGGCAGGGCTCAGGTTTGGATACTGTGGCTGCCTGCCCAGGATTGGGCAAGTCCCAGCAAGGGCCATTTTATTCTGTTGGGTATTGCTGAAAAGAGCTTGGAGCTCCTCTTGGGGTCTAGATGAAGGATGATGAGTGAGAAGGAGACTCAGAAGTAGGCCATTTCAGCCTCTTTGTGTATGTGCATATGTGCACCTGTGTGTATGCACATGTGTGACTGCTTGCATTTCTGGCAAGATTCCTGCAGCACCCTGTGTCTGCTGTGGGCCGATGTGGCAGAGTACACTCAGGAAGCCCTGATTACTAGGGGAACTGGGGTATCTCCATGTACTCAGTGCATCTGCTGCAGTTTGAGCTGGATGCTTGCTGTGTGGATTCCTGCACCGATGCGCTCTGAGCTGCCTCTTCTCTCCTCTGTTCCCTTCTTTCACCTTCTAGCTTGGAAGCAACCTGAAAATTCAGAATGAATTTCTCAGCTAAGAATAGATGCTTACTAAGGTGACACTCCCCACAGAGGATGGCCAGCCCTGACGATTTTGTGAGGGACAATCACTCGTGCCTTGGACAGCTTCCTAACTCCCCAGTGTCCCTCTTTCCCCAAGTCTCCTCACCTATCACTCTTTTCCACCCTGACTTTCTTCCTTCTACACAGCTTCCCTCTTCTTTTACATTCCCTGGAAGTCCTTCCCCAGTGCCACAGCAAGAGAAACCAGGGTGAGATGCCAGGAACAACTTCCTAAGGGGTGGGAGGAGGTACAAAAAAGGTAGAACTCTTGGGAGGAGGCTGAGAAAGCTTCTAAGGAGATTGAGGAGCTGGGGTGAGGCTCCTTGGCCTGGGACAGTTGAAGAAAGACAGCCTGGTGCAGGGTGGAGGCATCCTCTTCCAGCCTGTCTGTCCTCCCCAAGCCCCTTTCCCTGAATATCTACCCTCTGCCTCCATGGTGTGGGAAGAGAATTCTCCCTGTTGTGAGCTGCTTCTAGTGGCGTCTCTCTAGGGTGGAGTCTCTGCTCTCAGTGGAGTTCTGGCTCATCCCTGGCTTGTCTCTTGCCGCCCCAGGATCTGGCAGATGGCATCAGGATCCTTATCTCAGGAATGTGCTGGTATTCTCTTGGCCTAGGGCTGCAGGAGGCATCCCTGGGTACCGTTACAGCGCCAACAGCCAGCCTGGCTGCTCTGGGCCACCCTGGAGTCTAGCAGATTAGGGAATAGCTGGTGGGCTAGCCAGGCTTCTGAGTGGTGGGTTCAGTGATTCCTGAGATATTGGGGAAAAGAAAGGGCCCTTACTGACCTCTCTAGAGCTAGGCTACATTTGGCACTGAGGGTTTCTGCAGATATGTCTGGTCTTGAATGGCCGCGCAGGAAACCACAGAAGCGTGAAGTGGGCGTGTCTTAGATTAATGTTACTCTGTTCTGACAGTCTCTTGTGTGTGTAAGAAAAGAGGGACTGCATGAGCATATATTTACATTTGAGGGCTTGAAAGAGCGTGACTCTGTGTCCATTTGTTTTGCCTATGACAGTGTGAATTGAGAGAGAGAGAGAGAGAGAGAGAGAGAGAGAGAGAGAGACTCTTTAAGCTTCAAGTGGTCCTGAACTGGAGGAAGATGGAACAGCATGATTGCTGAGACTTGGGGTTGGGACCCCAAAGAGCATATTAACTCAAAAAGACCACAGATAGAGAAGCTTGTAGAGGGCCTTGTAGAGGGAGTGTTGCAGAGGGAGTTAGGGAGCTGAGTGTCTAGGGTGGAGCCCTGGGTTCACTCCCCCCTTATTCTTCTCTAGGTCTAACCGGTTAGGGCCAGTGCTTACCTGAGGCTTCAGGGTAGGGAGGAAAAGGAGCGCAGTCCTGAGCTTCCTGATCCTGACTCAGTGGCAGGAGGGGCCCTAATGGGAGGCAAGCAAGTGGGAGCAGTGATATCTGAGCCATACAATCATACAGGGAGAAGGACACACAGTCTACAATGGCACACATTGCCATTCAAGGCTCATTCTACAAATATAAGCTGCCATAGTCCCAGGCAGGCATTGCCACTCACTCCTGAACATAGCCTGGCTCTAGGGCATGCTGCTTATTGTCATGCAAGGGCACATACTATCACTTAGAACTTATATAGTCAGTATGCATTATCACACACACACATCCACACACACACACACACACACACACACACATACATATCCACACACCCCAACATACACAGATATACCCAATCTCCCCAGGAGTCACTGTATCCACTCCGCATTATCGCACACACACATCCACACACACACACACACACACACACACACACACATACATATCCACACACCCCAACATACACAGATATACCCAATCTCCCCAGGAGTCACTGTATCCACTCTCTTGCTTCTGGATGGAGTACTTCACTTGGCCCAGATGGTGTACAGATACAGCTCATACAGGTGGATTTTAACAGTCTGTTTCTTCCAACAGAACATTTAACAACTCTAGGATCTACACACACAGACACACAGACACACACACACACAGACACACACATACACACAACCACATTATCAAGTAAATATATTGGCAGATATCTTACATGGTCATGTGCATTAATATCTTTTCATCTATTAATACTCATAAGTGTACCATGCACATTTGTGTATATATATATTCATACATGAAAACACACGATCATGTGTGTATATATAAGCATAACACAACAGCTATGTGTAAATAGTGTTCAATTTTAGAATATATACAAAAGTTCACAAGGATGCCCTGATACCATCATATGAAGAAACAAGCAATGTTAAGTATGTACAGGCATACGTATGCAAGTTCACACACACATACACAAACAACACATGAGCAGCCCCTCATCTCTATGGGAGCCTCACTGAGCCCTGCTTGGCACCTGACAGAATAGTGGATAGGGAGGCTGAACCTGACTACTCTGTTCCCTTCTTCCCACACTTCACTAGCACTGCTGTCTGCTGTGAGGATCAATGGGGACGGCCAGGAGGTCATGTATCTGGCGGAAGGTGACAATGTGAGGCTAGGCTGCCCATATATTTTGGACCCTGAGGATTATGGTCCCAATGGGCTGGACATCGAATGGATGCAGGTCAACTCAGAACCCTCACATAGGGAGAATGTGGTAAGTGCTGAGCACAGGGTTCTTTTAATATCAAGTTACATTATGATGACAACTTGTTGGGAAGCCAACATCATGAGGGAGAAGGGGGCAAATAAGGAAACAGAGACCTTGAGCTTCCTCCAAAATCTCTCAGGGAAAGGGGCAAGAGATGTCCAACTGGGAATGAAGCCAGCCAGTCATTCCGCCTTCTCTTACCCCATTGCAAGGGGGAGATGAGGTGTGACTCTTGACCTCTGACTTTGGAAGTCAGCAGTCTGATCTTATATTTTTCCAGAGTGCCTAATCTCATCTACTCTCACCCATTCTATGAGGTCAGTGGGCCAGGCATATCATTCCCATTTTGGGGGCTGAGAAAACTGAGTCTTAGAGAAGTTCAGTGAATTTCCCAGCCAACTTACATGACCCTACTTGACTCAGCTTGTCTCAGCACCTGCTTCCCTTCTTCCTTCTTCACAGTTCCTTAGTTACCAAGACAAAAGGATCAGTCATGGCAACCTTCCCCATCTGCAGCAGAGAGTTCGATTTGCAGCCTCAGACCCCAGCCAGTATGATGCCTCCATCAACCTCATGAACCTGCAGGTGTCTGACACAGCCACCTACGAGTGCAGGGTGAAGAAAACCACCATGGCCACCAGGAAGGTTATTGTCACTGTCCAAGGTATGACCAGATAGATTCCTCTGGGCTCCTTTGTCCAGGCTTCAGAGCCAAGGGCAGCTTGGCTACTGTGAGCCTGAGGCTGGCTCCGCCTCTTGGCTGATTCCTGGCTCATATTTGCTTACTTTGTTGCAGCACGTCCTGCAGTACCTATGTGCTGGACTGAAGGCCATATGACAAAGGGCAATGATGTGGTACTGAAGTGCTTTGCCAATGGAGGCTCCCAGCCCCTCTCCTACAAGTGGGCCAAGATCAGTGGGCACAGTCACCCCTACCGAGCCGGGTCCTACCACTCCCAGCACAGCTTCCACTCTGAGCTCTCCTATCAAGAGTCTTTCCACAGCTCCATCAATCAAGGTGAGGAAACCCCAGTCAAAGGAGAGTGAAGCTGAGGAGAGGATAAAGGGGCTAGGGGCCTATGGGGACTTCCTTGGCTTAGTAATGGCATCGAGTCAAACCTGGAACCAGACAGCTATTCTGGGTCCACTCCAGCAGTTGCTATTGAGGGAAGAACAGAAGGTTTAAGTGGAATGTCAGTCCAAAGCAACATGGTCAATTTGGAAAGAACATGGATCTGAGGTAGAGCTGGGCTTGAATCTTGGCTGGGACATTGACTGGTAGTAAACCTCAAGGAAGTGGCTTAACACCTCTGGTCCAGATGAAAAAGGAACACTGACTAATAACTATCTTTCACTGGCATGTGAGGATTAGATGGGATGAGGTGTGAGGCTTCTAGCACTTAGAGGAGTTGAATAATATCCATGATCAAAGAATAACAGAGCTAGATGGTACCATAGAGTTCCTGTGGTCTGATCCTGCCCTCACTGTCCAAGTGAGTAGTTGAGCTGTTTTTATCCCCAAAGTCACAGAGAATTTAATGACTGTCTTGTTGCTGAGAGAGGGGTCCTTCCCTGTCTTTTCATCTCAGACTTGCACAAACTGGCAATAAGACCTTCCTTGCTTTCAAAGTGGCATCCCATCCTCCATGCCCCAGGGGCTGAGGCTGGGTGGGAATTTTCAGAGACCAGGCTTGTCTGTTGGCTATAGTCCTATGATGCTCCTCCAATTACAGGCGTGAACAATGGGGACCTGGTGTTGAAGAGTATCTCTGCAGAAGATGATGGGCTGTATCAGTGCACAGTGGCTAACCATGTGGGCTACAGCGTCTGTGTGGTGGAGGTGAAGGTCTCAGGTAGGTATAGCTGCCCTGCAGGGCCCCTGGCATGCAAGGGTTGGACTATAAGCACCTGGGCTCTATTTTGGAGCCTCAGTTGCCCGTCTGGCCACTGCTGTCAATCTAGGGCTGCTGGAAGCCTTCTGCTGATATGGTTAACTTACACCTTGCCATATCTTCCTCACGGCTGCCCAGGGCCCAGGGACTTCCTGGGTACTTTCCCACAGAGCCCCCCACCTACCAGGCTGTCAGAAATCTGACCACCTCCATTTCTCTCCACAGACTCTCAGCGTGTAGGCATGATCGTCGGCTCAGTGCTGGGCTCTTTGCTCATGCTGGCCTGCCTGGCAGTAGGCATCTGGGGGCTCATCTGCTGCTGCTGCGGAGGCAACGGGGCTGGCGGCGCCCGTGGTGCCTTCGGCTACGGCGGCGGGGTCGGCGGCGGGGTCGGCGGAGGGGCCTGTGGCGGCGACTTGGCTAGTGAGATCAGGTAAAACCTGATGCATGCTGCATGCTGCTGCACGGCAGGGGACCGGCGCCCTGCCCTCTTCACCCCTGCCTGCCACCGGCCGGCTGGGAACCCCACCCCAAACCTGCCCGCCATCGCCACGGAGTGCTGGGACCTCAGCATGTCGACCTGTCACCCGCCGCATGGCTTTTCTGTCTCTTCCCCTTCCCGCTCCCAGTCTTCACCTCTGCTCCCTGCCCTCCCTTTCCTTCCGGTCTATGCACTTCTCTGTCTGGCCTAGACTGTAAGCTCCTGGAGGGCAGGGTCTATGTTTTATTTTTTCCCTCCTTTCCCTTGTATTGCGCCGGTAAGAACCTCAACATGCCTATTTAAGAAGAGTTAAAATACCAATAGTGCGAATAACTTATATTAGAAGCAAACTAGAAATAAAAATAGAACAAGACTAGCAGTGTTAATGATTGCAACGCCCTGGGGCCGAAGGAGGGAAAGACCGAGGGGCAGGAGGTGAGGACAGCCTCCCAGACTGCAAGGTGAAGGTTAGTCAAGGAAAAGACAGGGACCAGGGACCGCAGCTCCGGGATCACGAAGGCCCCTTCCAGCTAGTGGTTCCGGAAAACACCAGAAAGGGATGCAGGGCGCCTGGCTGGGGCTGTCCGCTGTGAGCTATTGGGACCTGTGGGGACAGGCCGGGTCTGCAGGATGGGGATGGAGGCTGCAGGGTTTCCAGCCTGGAAAGGTGCAGGGTCTGCAGGATGGGAATGGTGGCTCTGGGATCGCTGCAGGGCCTCCAGCCTAGGAAGATGCAGGATCTGCAAGATGGGGATGGGGACTGTGAGGTCTCCAGTCTAAGAAGGTGCAGGGTTTGCAGGATGGGGATGGGGACTGTGAGGTCTCCAGTCTAGGAAGGTGCAGGGTTTGCAGGATGGGAATGGAGGCTGCAAGGTCTCCAGCCTAGGAAGGTGCCGAGGGGACAGAGTAGGTTGAGGCTTAGAGAGAGGAGAGAGGAGAGAGGTGAGGGGCAGGAGGAGGGAGGCGAGGGAGATGAGAGGTTGCCAAGAGCCCCCAGCTCTGCCCAGGCCGTGCCAACGCCGCGCCGTGGAGGAGCCCGCTCACGCGCCCGCCTGTTGTTTTCCAGAGTGGACGCCGAGGCGCCCGGGTGCAAGGCCAGCGGGCGCGGCAGCCGCGTCACCCACCTCCTGGGGTACCCGACGCAGAACGTCAGCCGCTCCCTGCGCCGCAAGTACGCGCCCCCGCCCTGCGGCGGCCCCGAGGACGTGGCCCTAGTGCCCCGCACCACCTCTGCCTGCGAAGCGGGCCCCTCCCCGGTCTACGTGAAGGTCAAGAGCGCGGAGCCGGCCGACTGTGCCGACTGCGCCCAGGTCGAGCAGCAGTCGTGCAAGGACGGCCTTTTAGTGTGAGCGCGCGCCGGGCTGCGCCCCGGCTGGGAGGCGGGAAGGAGCTCTCTGCCCGCAGCTGGGGACAAGTTGGGGCGGGCGCAGACCTCGCTCTCATTCGGCCGCCAGGCGGCTGGGAGTGCAGGGGAATTTCCCTCAGACTTGTGTAGGGAGGCAGAGCCAGCTACGCTAAAGTGGGAGGGGACCGAGGACCTAGGAAGGCAGTCCAGAGCTCTCCTGGACCCCCGGGGGCCTTGCCAGGGAGAGAGAGGGTGGGAGGAGGAAGCAGCCGGCATCCCGCAACCTCAGAGGTACAAGCTGGGTGTCCCCAGCCAAGGCAGAGGGCCCCGAGCTGGGTGCGGGTCTGGCCTGAACTGTACTGTGTGTGAGATCTGAGCTCCGAGGCAACAGTGTTAGCGCAATAAAGAAGCTTTAAGACGAGACCGAGGTGGCTGTCTAGTGTTCCACGGAGGGCTGGGCATGGGGCGAGGACTCCGCCCCATACCTGAATCTTCTGTGTCCCCTTCTTAGAGAGGAAATCAGAGATAGAAGGGGACATCTAATTCTACTGCTCCACCAGACAGGTGGGGAAACTGAGCCCCTTCTGAACAGACTTTAGAGGTTCAAAGCCTACTTTTCCTTTTTCGCTCTGGAAGAGGAGAGGTGGCGGTGGTCAGAGATGATGTCTCTTTCCTGGCCATTCTCAGCATCTTTTCTCAGTCCACCATCTACCTAATCTGGACTTCTCAACCCCTCCCAGGTGTACATCTTCCTTCCAACAGCCACGAACATTTAGACTCACTCAGACCCTGTAGGATAGAAAGATGGCCAGGCTGTCTAGCCCAGGCTGTCTTCCCTGTGATGGGAAGGAAATTAAGTTTATCAGGCACCCACTAAGTGTCTGGTGCTCCAAAATATTTTGTTTTACTTACTTCTTAACTTTGATTTTGTGAGGCAGTGCATTGTTTCCATTATACAGATGAAGCAATTGAAGTTCAGGGGGATTAGGTATTTCAACCAAGGCAACAAAGATAATTCAGGATTTGATCTAGCGATATTTGACTTCAGGACATCAAGCTGTTTCTTTGATACCTGAATTCCTTCTATAACATTCCTGATGAAAGCTTTCCCAACCTCTTCTTGCCTACCTCTAGGGCAGCTCAGTGCCTTCCAAAGAGCAAACTTCTGTCAAGATTTCATAGAGTATTTCTTCTTTTGAATGAATGAACTTTTTGTTCCTTAGTCCAAGATCTACTTTCAAGGAGCCCAGTGCCTCACATTTCAATTCAGCTGCCCCTAGTGGAGCAAGTGGTTGTAGTCTGCATAGGACACCTGTCTGGTGTTAAGTGGTTAGGGAGTCTTCAGAAATGAATAGCACTTTAAGCCTACCCAGTTCTAAGCCTGCCTCTCCCCAGCCACCTGCTTGTGGAGAGCCTAGACTCTTTTACTTTGCTTCTCTTTTCTAGAGGGGAAGCTGGTCTTCTTAATTCTTCATGCTCCTGCCTTAGGGCAGCATAAAGTGATTACGCATAAGGCCAAGTACCCTACTTGGTACTAAATGGCTTGGGATTTGCCAATGGGTGGTGGCATTGTCCACTCTGCCTTGACAGAATGGGGACAAGGGAACCAGAGACCTCTTACCTGGGAATTGGGGGTGGGAGGGGGCTGCACAGGGATAGAGAAGGAAGGGAGTTAAGCAAGGAGGAAGTAGAAAACTTCAGGAACTATCTGTCCTTGCATTTATTTGGTCATGTTTGTGAGCTCCTTTCAGATGACTTATTCACAGATAGCATTGGCTCTTCAGCAGGGCACTGTGCCTGGCACACTTCCTGCCCTGAGGCAGGTGACTGATGAGGTTGACATGGTGAAGGTGCTCCTGGTCTGAGGAGCCTCCACCCCAGCCTCCTGCCATGTAGTGAGGCGTTGAGGGAGTCATCTGGCTTACAGGTTGTGTTGAGTGACATCATCTTCCCAGTCTTGGGAGCCAGGAAGGTGTGCTTAGACCCAGCTTTCATTTGAGTGGTGGCAAGAGTGAGGCTCCGGTAAGAAAAGCCCATTAAAAAACAGCAAGAGAGACAACTTCCTGTTAGGGTGAGTCAGCTGGGAAGTCCAGTGAAGTTCTTAAGAGAAAACTGAGATGGCAGCTGGCCTGGACTCCTTCTTTCAGGGCCAGGAGGGACGGAAGCTTACTGGTCCAACAATTGATTTCACTGCAAGAACACCGGGTCTTCTTTGCTTGTTTTTTCTGCGTGCAACTGGCTTGCTGCTGGAGGATGGCTCTTACAGTGATAAATGTTGAACAGTGCCTTGGAGTAAACTGGCCCAGGGGTCAGGGAAGCTCTGATTTGTAGCATTCCTTAAGTTCTGTGACATAAATGCTCCCACAGCTCAATGCTCAAGCTGCCAACATGGTGTTAACCACCTGGGGTTGGAAGAAATGTTCAGTGGCTCACCCTTGTGCAGGATTTCCATAATCCAGGTGCAATAGAAGTAAATAAACAGAATTGCAGTAAAATAATGAAGAAATGGTGAATTTTCTCTTAGCCCCCTGTTTTGATACAATTTACTTCATTGTAATTTTCTAGGATTTGCTTTTAAACAGTGGCTGCTGTTGACTAGCTGGCTTGTAAAATTTAGGTGGGCCATGTCACTGTGTGTGTTAGTCAGCTTTGATTCACTGTGACAAAATTCCTGAGATAATGAATTTTGAGAGGAAAGGTTTATTTTAACTCACAGTTTGGGAGCTTTCAGTTCATGGTTGCTTGGCTCCTTTGCCTTTAGGCTTTCCTTTGACAAAACAGCGCCTAAGGCTGTGAAAGGACAGTAGAAGAAGGCAAGAAGAAATGGCTGGAGGAGGGACTGGGTTCCTAATATCTTCTTAAGGGCATGCCCCAAATGACTTAACTTCCTTCCACTAGCTTTACCCCTCAAAGGATCCATCACTTTGCAATAGTGACAGGGCCTGAAACCAAGCTTTTAACACACAGGACTTTGGGGGCCACTAATCTAAACAATACTACCAGGCAAATGGAATGCTGGGCCCAAATGCTGCCTCAGAGTGGAGATCTCAAGACAGCCCTGACTGCTGCCTGTTTTTTGAGAGACACAAAGAGCACTTGCCCCCATTCCTCTTCCTGTTCCGCCTTTTGTACCTCTCCTCAGCCTTGTCAGGGCCGAATTCTAGTTCTTATGGTCAGGGAAAAATCGCCCTCCTACATCTTTACTTTTTGATAGTCACTAGAAATCCACTTTGGCATCTGTAAGATTTTCATTAATTTGCTTTATAGTGTGCCTGACGCTGAGAAGTCCATGCTAGAAATGCTTCTGAGTCCTCACTGACTCAACTCCTCTGACTCCCCTCCCCAGCCCTTTGCAAGGCACTCTCTAGTCATCTTAAGCTTCCATTCTCAAGCTCATGGGTGGGGTGGAAGCCCATAAATCGCCTAAGATTGTCCATGAGCGCGTAGGCTGACCCTTGCTCTAGGCCTAGTCAAACTGTGGTCTATTTTGGGTGGGGGGTGGATTTGTTTTCCCACTTACTAGAAGCAAAGGAATTTTGGGACTTCCACTACCTGACTCTGTGGACTTAGGTTGTGGCCTGCCTAGAGGCAGGAGATTGACCAGAACTTTAGCTCGTCCCCAAAGCTTCCTAGAGCTTCCTCCTGGCTTGGTCCCCTCAATTGCTGGAAGACTAGGAAATCCTGCTCTTTATCTATTTTGTTCATCTGGAGCAATCATTTCATTTATTCCTGGTGTAAGGAAACTAAACTGATTCTGTTCAGTTCCTTGTTTGTACTTTAAAATTAATTTTTGTATAACCATCCTCCCTTTTGTAAAACAGTAGAAGTCAAACAAGAAAGGATTACAGTATATCATAGTGTCACTAGTTTTTTTCAGAAATATAATATTGAAAGTCACAAATTTCTTGCTTTTTCTGAGAAGTAATATACATTCTCTTTATGACCTAAATAACAGGTTGGCAAATATAGCTTGAGGGTCAAATTTGGCCCATGGCCTGATTTTATATATCAATAAATCTTTATTGACAGTTCTTTGTTCTTAGGGAGAATGTGCTGAAGGGGAGGAGAGGTGGTGACAGTGTTTGTTTCATGAAATCTGGAAGACTTTGAGTTTGGTCACTGTGCCTGTTGGCAGGGAGTGGACAAGATGGCCTTCTACTGGCCGTCTGTAGCCACTGCCTTTAGCAACCTTCTTGGATGCCTTCTAGAAGGACAGGCGGGATGAGAATAGGACAGTAGGGAGAAGACTGAATCTTCTGACCAAGGCAAGGAATTGAGCAGAGAGGACAGGGAACAAACTGCTGAACTCATTTCATTGAGGCTGAGGGAGGTGATGATAGGTACTAGGTGGGCTTTTGAAGAAAAGAAGGATGAAGAAAAATTGTAAGAAACATTTGTGAACTACTCATATTCACATATGCAAAAGGAGCCTGTGTTTTTAGCGTCAGACAGAACTAGGCCCGTAGTTTTGAGTAAGTTCTCGAAGCTTCAGATTCTTCATCTGTGAAATGGAATAGCGAGATGATTATTTGATGTGATATGCATATTACACACACTGTTACACAGTAGAGATTCGGAAAATGAGTGATTCCTCCACATCTAATCTGCAGCTTCATCTCCCACAAGAGGGCAAGCCTGGAAGCCTGGATCTAACCGAACAGAGATGGGGCAGAGACTAGGGTGATGGGAGATCCACAGGGAACGGGTGGGGCAATTAGAATGGCACTTTGAAGTTGAATTTAGAAAGACAGTTTGCCACCTGGGGGAAGGAACAAGGAGTCCAGGAGGCAGCCAGTAGTGAAGTAGGAGGAAAAGCAGACTGTTGTGAGACCTGTAGTCCATGTGCGCACACTCATGTTAACAGCAATCTCCTTTGTAATGCTGATACTAATAATATCAGGAAGCACCTGAAACACAGGCTTGACAGAGGCCTGGACAAGCTTCCAGAATCCTACAGCACCTCCTGGGACCAGGGCGTGTCTTCCTGAGCCATTTCCCAT